TGATTGAAGCTTTTAGACAAGGAGGTCAGTTTGAGGAAGCTATAAAGGCATACGTTGAGATGGAAAAGAGAAGATGTGATCATGATGAATGGACCCTTGAGGCAGTTTTAAGTGTTTACTGCGTTTCAGGTCTTGTTAATGAGTGTGAGGACCACTTCCAAGAGATGAAAGCCTCGGGAATATTGCCCAGTGTCATGTGCTACTGCATGATGCTTGCTGTTTATGCAAGGAATGACAGGTCAGCATTCACTCAATTATTTCATAATATTTTCCTTTCATTGTTTATGGTAAAGGAGCAATTTCTGAGCTAATGGTCACCCATACAATTATCCAACATAATTTTTTTCTATGAATAAAAGGAGCACATAAGATATTTATTTGCTAAAAAAATTGAGTGCATAAAAGATAAACAACATTCAGTTCTCCTGAATTTGTAATTCATCTCTCTATGACATGTATGGTGCAACTGGTAGGTAAGTTACTGAGTTTAAAGACAGTATCTGTAGAAACTTTGGCAAATTTTAACTAATGTTATATAGTAGCTTCAAAAATCGATGATCCACTATAGAAATGCTTTGCAGTGCTCGAGACAATATGTCCTTCATACTCTCTATCCCAAAATCTTATAACTAAGATGAGTGGCAGTATATATGCAGTATGGCCTCTGCAATTCTGCATTAACTGTATTGTTAATATTTAGCCTTCAGCAATCCGTCACTGGAAAACTTCAAATCAAGGCTACTTTGATTGCACTTGATCTTGCAACTTGCATCATTGTCATTGGTCTATGGCATTGTGAAAGCCTTTCAGCGATAAAGTTATTATCTTTTGCCCTTGTGATGATTTATCTTACCTTTTGGGCTCCTTTCTTTCAGGTGGGATGATGCCAATGAGTTGCTAAATGAGATGCTCACAAATAGGGCATCAAATATTCATCAAGTAATTGGGCAGATGATAAAGGGAGATTATGATGATGACTCTAACTGGCAGATGGTGGAGTATGTTTTTGACAAATTAAAATCTGAAGGATGCGGGTTGGGAATGAGGTTCTACAACACACTACTAGAAGCACTTTGGTGGCTGGGCCAGAAACAAAGAGCTGTCCGAGTTCTTAATGAAGCGACACAGCGAGGGCTTTTTCCTGAACTTTTTCGTAAAAATAAACTTGTGTGGTCTGTTGATGTGCACAGGTATATTGAGAGTTCGTCTCTTTGAAGTCATGTCCTCTTACACAGGTTTATTTTAATCCTCATGTTGACCATTTTATAGGATGTGGCAAGGCGGCGCATATGCAGCAATGTCAGTTTGGCTAAACAATATGTATGAGATGTTCCTGAATGGAGAGGATCTTCCCAATATTGCAACTGTTGTTGTAGTGTAAGTTGCTCTTTCCTTCCATCAATTTCTTTTCTGAAGGCCTACTTGATACAGATATTGGTTAGGGTTTATATGGTCTAGGTAGGCTAGGGATCTAATAGTGACACAAAGTGATTTTCATTAACCTTGACAAAATCTAGAATCTCAAATAATAATAAAATTATTTTCAGTTCTTGTTATTTAGGTGTATGTTGGCATATACACTCGATATAGATTAGTGGGAGGGAGTAACCCGCTGTTCCTATGGCAAACCTCGCACTTGCATAGGTGTATCTGTTTTGGTATTGCAATAAATTCACAGATCAAACTGTTTTTGTTGGGGGCCGATAAGAAAAGGGGAAAAGAGAAAAGGAGAAAAACACATAAAAGGCTACATGTAGATTAAGTGATTTTAAAAAATATAAGTTTTGGTTTTTCTAACTTTGTCACTTCAAATTGTCTGACTATTAGTGATGTGTTTTTTATCGATCAGACGAGGAAAGATGGAGAAAAGCTCAATGACACAAGATTTCCCTATTGCAAAGGCTGCTTATTCATTTCTGGAGGATAATATGCCATCATCCTTTTCCTTCCCAAAATGGAACAAGGGTCGAATTCTCTGCCAGCGCCCTCAGCTCAAGCGGATTCTATCAAGCATCGAACCATCAACAGATGGGTCGGAAAGGAAGAAAATAATTACATTAAGTAACTCCCCGTTTCCTCCTCCGGGAATAAAAACATCCTCCAAAGATGTCAATAGTGGACGGTATAATGACGTCACTTCTGATGAAAGATTAAGGATAAGAACAGAGCTTTTGACAAGTGCAGTTTAGATACACTAGATATACTCATCACTTACTAGAGTTTGGTTTAGATTTACTTGTCGCCATTTCAGTACAAGAATGGGAATGCTTCGGGACCAATTCATAGTTCAATTTCCTAGAGTTTTAATTTGGTGGAGAATGATTTTTCGGGTCCTCACCAACCTAAGTATTAGCTTGCAAAGAAGACGGCATCGACCAAACTGCGTAATGCTCGGTTCCACGCTCTTTCTAGTTTGATTTGAAGTGAGTTCTGGTCCTTGGGATCACTTGCGGAAGACCTCGAGGTAACAATGATTGTGATTTTGTAGCTAGCTGTAGTTATCCTTTTTTCATGTGTAAATGTACACCAAAAATTTTGCGTCTAAATATTATGAGAAAAGCTAACCGATTGTTGTTGTAGTTTAGCCTTCATTGTGAATTCTTGTTTACATCAGTGCAGTACATTTATACAATGAACAAATTTGGACACAGTTTAGATCTGGACTGCACGACCTCCTAGTTCTGGGGGCCACTTTTTGATTGAGAAATACGTCTTGGGTCTCTCTTTAGGCCCAGAGTTGTTCTTGTTTAATCTTTCTTGTTTGGGCTTCAATCCTCCACAATACTAAACTTCAAAAATTAAAATTTTAATCCCGCCCATTAGTTTCCAAATCATATCATAAATTAAAGGATTAAATTGTGCGTTGCACTTGTACGTACGTGTAATACTCTTTTACTTTTCAAATCTGGTTACGGGTTAGGTCAGTTGATCATCCTCAACGTACGTTAGAGTAATTTACAACATCGCCTTATTTTAAAAAAGAAGGGAAACAAAAAGTGAACAATAAGAGAAAGCAAGCAAACCCTATTGTGGTTTTCCATTGCGTTCTCATCACGCACTGTGATAATACCAACATGTTTTAAAGCCATGTATATGTTTCGAAAGCTTCTATTTCGCTTTAGGTTGGAGTCTTTTTTCTTAGAGAAAGCAGTCTCTCGATCATTTTCTTGGAGATTAAGATAACACTCGAGGGTAACAAAGATACCAATATGATTCTTGGCACAAAGTAAAAAAGCTAAGAAACACCACATGCTCTCCGTACCATACACAGAATTAATTAAAGCACTTTGGAGAGAAAGGGGGTAATATTTGGTGTCAACAATAAAAGCAAAAGCGTATTTAACTAAGCACATCTCAAGCCCTAAAGTCAAATTTATGTCCAAATCTACAAGTAAAGGCATTGGAAGTGCTTTCTTCAATAGGATCATCTATCACTTTTCTCCCCCGGCTTTTTACCCAACTTTCCTTTTATCTCAATAATAGTAGTTTAGGTGAATATGCTTCTACTTCCAATGCTAGATCATGTTGCCCCCATCAGTGGTAAAAGTTCAAGCCCTACACTCCACCTCCTATACAGAAACAAAAAGAAAACTCCCAACCATTGGGTAAGAAATTCCATTATACATGAAACCTATTTGTTTTGCTACACGCTCGTAGTCATAGTGTGTTGGGTTCCCCTACTAATTCCAAGGGGACAATGAGCATACTACATCATCTTGCCCGTCTAATTTATTCTCTGCCACAAAACAATTACTTTGATTCACTTCTAAGTTACAAACCCATGCTATGAAGTTTGCCATGAAATCCTAATTGTATGCGATTAAACGTGCAATGATTGCATCAGAAATTATCTTCAACATGTATGGACTTTGAGATAAGGAGTGCAGGTGTGGAACAAAAGTTTTTCATGAAAAGAGGCCAAGAAGATAAGAGTGCAAGGGTAATGGTGGAACCCCACGGAAACCTTATCTTAGCTACTCTGCCTCTATCACAAGCACAACCACCCCACCATGAAAGCAAGTTTATATTAAAACAGGAGTGTACGATCTTAAGAGATAACGAAAACAAATCCGCCTATTTATTTTCAGTGGACAACAGCGAATATGCGAAGTTGACGGTCCATAGAGCAATATCTCTCAATTATTATAACCATAATAATATCCAAAAATATATTACAAAAATCATAGATTGATAACTACTATAAGCATAAAGAATAGCATTGAGCTGGGGTTTATCATTAATTAATTGCAATTTGCAAGTACATAATTTTTTGAATACAAGCGATTGGAAGAGGGGAGTTTACACGAATATTCATTGAGTATCTGGGTGTTTCGAACATCTACCCACATGAATAGAGGTGAAAAACTCAACCAACTGTATTCTACCCCACTAACGTAAGTAGATAAAGATATTCAACGCAAATAGATTAAGATATTCAAAGAGAAGATGTCATTTTGATTCTACCTTAAAAAATAATAATGCTGGGGTAGGTACGTTCTGTTCCGCATAAGTTTGGGGTTTGGATGAGTTAATTATTTGTTTAACTCACTATTATCGATAATCAAGTTGGGTTTGACTGGATAAAGATAGGGGTGCAGACAGAGAGCATATTATATTTTGTGAAATGCCTCAACCATGTGCGATGCTCTCTTCATTTTTATTTATTTATTTATTTATTTATTTATTTATTTATTCATTCTAGAGACAGCATGAATTGGTGGTTGAGTGGGGTCCCATAAACAATGCCTCTCTTCCAATGAAATTTGGAATCTTTTTTGTGTACAAATTTGGTCCTATCTAGGCTCATAATTGTTAGGAAAAACAATCACCCTAAACACTAAAATTGAAGTGTTTGTGATTATAAAGTACCATTTTAGAAAAAAAAAGACCCTAAAACAAAATAATGGACTCATTTTAAAGCTTGAAGGGCAACATTTAGCCACACAACAATGCTCATGTGTCAAATTTGTTTCTTTGTTTGTTGGTAGCCTTCTACAACAGTTGTTCATAATTTTGACCAAATCCAAATTTCTTGTTTGCTCCACCAAACCCCATTTTGGTTCATTTTTAACATCATCGTATAAATGCTTATGAATTATTATCATATATTTGGTTCATTAGTTTGTCGAGTCAACGATCCATTACTAGCAACACTGTTATTATTCCTAATTTAACAACGCCCACTAAATTTGATATTAGTAGTATAACCATTCATTTTATCTTCAACTTATCATCATTAATTAAAGCTTCATTTTCCAATGAGTTCAAGCCAGATGACATGGAGGAGGCAGTGTGATAAATTGGTAAAGCTTTAAATGAAAATCCAATCCTAGGTTAAATTTTGTTTTTGTTCTTTTATTGTAATTGTAAGATATTTGTTGGAGAGAGATGCTAAAGAGACGGAATAAAACACGAAACGAATGGTAAAAAAGTAAACGGCCTATTACATCACACGTGTTGAACGCAGACCCAAAGCCCGAAACTTTACAGCCTTTACACACCGTCTGTTCCACGATCCACATGGAGCCACCTCATCCCTGTCGTCTCCCGCGTATATATATAAAACCTCACCCGCACACTGCTCTCCATCTTTTTCATTTGCTCCTTTTCTCCGAATCGCACGGCCTCAGATCCATAGCCGTCCAGAAAAAAGCAGAGACTTAAAAACGTCGTCGTCGTCGCAGTGGTCGGTGAAGATGGCTGGCACGTGCTCCACCGTCGAGCCTGTGGGCGCCGGAGATCGCAGTACGAGCAGCCTCAAGAGGGCTCCAACAACAACAGCGGCAATAACACCATCGCCGGCAAGGATGACGTGGCCGGTTACGCCTCCGAGAACGACGTAGTTCACAATTCTGCCGGAAATCGCGAGCGCGAACGCAAGCGAGGTCAGTCTCTCTCTATCTCTCTCTATCCATCTGATCGCCGATAATCTCTGATCAACCACTCTACACTGAAATTTTAGTCAATTGATCAAAAAGGGAACAAATTTGATTAAGTGTTCTGCTCATCGTTGACAAAATTTGCATTCTTTACCAGAAAAAATAAATCTGAAATTTTTGTCAATTGTTACATTGCATGTTCTAAATTCATGAAATTGCTAATTCTGTTTTTCTATGTTAATTCAAATTCATTTAAGAAAAGAAAATTGATATGAAATGAGTTAATTTTGTTTGAAAAATTGTGAATTTATTATTCATATGGATGGTGATCAGGGGTTCCATGGACGGAGGAAGAGCACAAGCTATTCCTGCTAGGGTTGCAGAAAGTGGGGAAGGGCGATTGGAGAGGGATCTCTAGAAACTTCGTGAAGACTCGCACACCCACTCAGGTCGCCAGCCACGCTCAGAAATACTTTCTGCGCCGAAGCAACCACAATCGCCGCCGCCGCAGATCTAGCCTCTTCGATATCACAACAGATACGGTAATAATTCAGTTCCCTCTAATTTCAGTGCAACTCAATCCAATTCATGTATTTGATCTGACAAGTAGCTTTGCAGTCATTTAAAGTGTGTGGATCTAGCAGTTTGTTTTTTTAAGTAGTTGTTTATATGAATCTGGCAAGTAGGTTTTTTGGAGCTGAAGATATAAGTTCTTTATCGTTTGAACTATATGCAACATTTGAACTTATATATCCCTATCCAATTTTCTTGGCAATCAGTCTTGAGAGAGCATAAGATTGTTTACTTGGTGATCTGTTCAAGTTTGGGATTACTTTCATTTGCTCAGGAAATTTAGGAACAGAAAACGAAATTTGATGAAGAATGCTATGTGTTTTAATGGTTTTGGCTTCTTATAGACTGAAAAAAAAAGTCAAATTGTTGATTCGTAATTTCTTTGAAGTTGCTGGGGAAAAAAAAAGTCAAATTGTTGATTCGTAATTTCTTTGAAGTGGATGGTATTGTTTTGTTTGTCTAATTAGTTGGTTCGTGCAATTTTTCACCACCACCAAAAGCAAAAGTAAGCTTTATCTTATCGTGATAACTCCTTTTTCTGTGTGTTAGGTCACTACAACTCCAATGGATGAAGAGCAAGTACATCATCAAAATAACACATCTCAATCACATCCATTGCCACCTCCACCACCATCTGAGGCTTGCAATCCTAGTGGATTTTCGATGGTGCCAAATTTTCCATTGACTGTAGGCCCAGCTGTCTTGCCAGTTCCCATTGAGAATCCAATGGGAAATCTAACCTTGGGACAGGCAAATCTTGAGAATAATGCTTCAGCTAAGCTTGTCCGTCCAATTGCCCTTCATTCGGCCCCTCATGCTACAGCAATGTCTGATCTAAACTTGAAGTCGACAATGGACACGTCGACTCTAACTCTCAACCTCTCCTTGTCAATGGACCCGAGGGAATCGTCATCAAGGCATTCGGCTTTCCAGGCAATGACAAGCTTCAGCAATGGGGATAGCATTATTAGTGTTGCTTGAGAGTGTGCTGATTTATGGAAATGGTTTATAATTAGAGCAAATGGGTGAGATAAAGTGACCCCAAATCCCAAATTTGACAATGGATTAGAGAGGGCAAGGTAATTAGGTGACTGAATTTGTTCCTTTTAGTTTGTTGTACAGAACCCCCCCAAGATAATGTAATGTCCTGTTCTTGTTGTTCTGTGGTATTATCTCACAGATTCTCCTTGTTTTTTCATTTGGCTTTTTTTGTTAGCAGCTGATATAACTGGAAAATAACTGGTACAGTCTACAGTGTTTTGATTGCTGATTGCGGTCCCCTGGTGGGCCTGGTCCTGAACTCATAAGTGGTTTACATGTCTTTGTGAGGAAACAAATATCAAGTTGGGTTTTGGTGGGGAAACATTTTCTTGCCCTTTCTTTATTCTGGACGGACAAAATTAATTGTGTGATTGATTGTGGATTGAAACTGGCACTCGATAATGGATCGTGATTGTTGTACCAAACGTTTTAATATTAACACGTGTTTGGGACGTTGATAATGCCTTATCAGGGTGGCTAAAAGGGTTTAAAGGAATCGACTTTATGCGTTGCGTTTGGCCGACTTTTGCCACTCTGATGGTGTGGGTTTTAATTGGGCAGAGAAATGGTTGCTTTCATTCATTCCCACTTTTTGACTGTAGGATGAGATGACAGAAACTTTAATTATTATTAAGATGGCTCAACCCTAGTGTTGAGAACTGAATGTGCTTATGACGTGTGAGTTTTGAAAGTAAGAGCTTGATTGGGACTGCGGTTAAAATGATTTCTGACAATGAGAAGTGATTCTGAGGCAGTAATAGTGTTTTTGGGAAGCCCTTGCTTTCTCTAAAAGCCCTTGAATTTACAATATAGAAGTTTCAATGCTCTTACCAGAAAACTAGCATAAATGCTTTTCTAAAGAAGTAGTTCCGAACGACCCTTAATACTGCATGCTCCTTTTTGCCCAAGAAAAAGTTGGGGTGAAATTCTGTGTTAAAGCCAAGACAATTGACATCAGTGATTAATACCTCTTCTATCTGTCACATTGATACATGCATCAAATTGAGAGAACCTTCTAGTATATATATACACATTATTGATATACAGAATGATTGAATCTTAATAACATAAGAAATAAACTAATGTACAAGTCTAATTCTACAATTGACAATTTCTATTAAAAACTCAACAGAGTGCAATTTAACACTGGTGTTGTGACCACTGACCACCTTGGTACATAAGTAAAGACCAAATTACGATTTTCCCCCTCTGATTTTTGGACTATTTCTCACTCCCTCAGTTCACTGAAAAATAGCGACCCGAAGATTGGCCTTTTCAAAAGCTACGAGTTTTTGTCGCAATTCCGACCCACATCATTCTTGTTGGTCGTCATCTTATCAAACAACTTATTCAGATTCACATTCTTTCCCAACACAACAGTTCCAATTGAAGATTTTAGCACAAGTATGTCTAGATATTAATATTGGAAAGTATATTGTGAGAGAATCATTTCTTAAAAATCTCCAACACTAATTAAGAACTTTTGTAACTTGGGAGCCTTGTAAAATTGAAAAAAGTTGACAGAAGAATTGAACATCTGATGTAAGTCAACGTGGAGGAGAAACCAGATGAACCACAAGTGGAAGTACTCCAAGAAATTTTCCAAATATAATAAGACATGAAATTATTTATTAAGTGAGAATAGAATAAAATGTACACTTGAGATGATGTTAAACGTATTCTAAACTCAAAACTTACATCATTACTTGAACGGCAATTTGGAAGGGGGGCTTCATTCAAATCGTCTTCACTTCATTTAGTTCTCTTTCTTTTTTCCTTTAACACTCTAGTCTAGCAGCAGCCTTCAGTTTATGCAGACGAAAGCCACGGGTTAGGTGCCACGTAAGTATATCCCTGGAAATGCACACCCGCTGTTGGTGTAGGAGCTGGTGAGTCGTCCAGAGGCATTGTAGTCCAGCACCGATCGAAGTTGGCCGTGCAGTCTTTTCCACTCACATCCGGCTTGAACTTTGGGAGCAGTTCTCTGGCCTCCAACTTCTTCCAGTTGATTGATCGAAACCATTTATGACTTTTGATATTATCACCTCCATTGGGCCCACTACCCAATCTTTGTAACGGATCCTTTTGTAGCAACTGCACAATTGAAGAAGAATCTTCCAATGGTTTAGCTAGCTGTTCATTTGACAAAATGAAAAATAAAAGGGAGAAAAGATCATATGGAATAATATACGTACTCCTCTTAGCAAGGAGTGAGCTTCGCTGGTAAGATAAGGTGGAAGTTTAACTTTCTCTTTGATGATTCTCTCCTGGAGTTTCTTTCTATTCGCATGCGTAAATGGTGGCTGCAGGAAAGGGGCAAAACAATTTTTGAACAAACAGTCAATACTGGTAAATTAAAGACTTAAAATTATAGCCATCTTGATCATTTAAAACAGTATAATGGTATCAACTAATGAATTTACAGAAGTATGCTAGCCCACTATAACTTGTAATAGTTTTGCTTTCTTGCTTGAATGTTTCAAGTTAATGACGTGCCCTGCCTATGAATCGATGTTGATGGAGCCTAAAAGTCTAATTAGAAGAAAAGTAGAGGACCTAACAATGGGCAGAGTTCAACAAGCTTCTATTTCGTCAATAAACATACCTTTGAAAAACTCATAATTTTGAATGTGCAATCTGAGAGGACCATTAGACAATTACGAGTTTAAATCACAAAATTGTATTGGATACGTCTATTGTTTTACCTGCCCACTTAGCATCTCATACAAAAGTATACCAATGCTCCACCAATCTGCATCTTTGTTATGGCCTTTAGACAGCAATATTTCAGGAGCCATGTATTCTGTGGTCCCACACATTGAATTTGATCTGCTGGCTTCATCAATTTCCTTTGCTAGTCCAAAATCAGTTAGCATGACCTGCATCACAGGTATCCATTTCAGCAAAAGTATATGTCCCAGCGAGAAAAGGATAATCTGACTACCAAGCATGTTCCTACAACAAATAGTGAGTAAATGAGTATGGCCATTACATGCCCGTCAGAATCCACAAGAACATTTTCAGGTTTAAGGTCCCGATGCACGATCCCGCACTTGTGAAGATGTGCAACAGCAGATACTATCTCAGCAGTATAAAGTCTTGCTTGATCCTCGCTACTCAAGAAACATCCCAAAGACGAAATCAAAACAAACGGACACATACACTGAGTATAAATTTCTAATAATAAAAGGAAAAATTACCTAAAGATTCCCTGCCGGTACAAGTGAAAGAAGAGATGCCCTCCATTTATAAAATCCATGATCAAATAAAGCTTAGAGTTGGTCTGCAAAGCCAAAGACAACATACAAGCTTAAGAGCATACTAGTATACAATGAAATTCACATAAAATGGTTCACAGCCAATGAAATCACATAAGATGGTAAGCAATCAAAGAGAGAACATATGATACATAAAAAAGACAAGATTTTTGGCACAAAAAGAGAACAAATTTCAATAACCCAGCAAGAGTTCAGTGCTGAAAATTAATGGGAAAGACCAGTTTTTCTACTATGCAAACTTAATTCCATCAAATTCACTAAATTAATTAAAAATCATATAACAGGTACCTGGAAAGAGTAGCGAAGCTGAACAATGAAAGGGTGCACAACCTTGGTGAGGATGTCTCTCTCAGCTTTCATATAATCCACATGGTTCTTCTTTATAATTGTGTCTTTCCTCATAACCTTCATAGCATAAAGCCCATCACTTTCGTTGCCGTTACTGCCATCGTTGCACTTCTTTCTCACTTGAAAGACCTTCCCAAACGCGCCCTTACCCACAACTCTGAGCATCTCAAAATCCGCAGGCCCAAACTTACGAGCTCTCTCTTTGACTGCGAGCTCGGTCTTTTCTGATTCCCCATCATTCCGATTATCAGTTCCGTCCGGGTTTTCGGATTCGTCTTCGTCGCTCTGGGAATCGAGGAATTCGGCGGTGAAAGGGAGGGAGGAAGACGGAGCGAAGCGCGGGGAGGGGCCCACGAAGGAGTGAGAACGGTTGTGGATGACCAGTGGAGCCGGAGGGAGCGACGTGGCGGAGGTTGATTGGTCGTTGGGGATGGCAGTGGTGGGGCCGAAGAGGTCGTTAAAGTCGAAGTCTGGAGGTGGAGAGGAGGAGGAAGAAGACGAGGAAGGCGGGATTGTGAGGTTGCTGAGCTTTGCGGCCAGCAGAGAGTGGAGGCTCTTCTTCTGAGACGACGACACCATGTTTCTTTCTTCAAGCTCTCTCTCTCTGCTGCTACATGATGAGAGAGAGAGAGAGAGAGAATGGCAAGCTGAGTGTGCCTGAGGCTGTCAGCTGAGTCAGTGAAAGGAAGATGACGTTAACTGACTGCTATTGGCAACGCGCCATTTGATATTCGTGAACGGCATTTCCCATCATCTCCCACTACTACACGTCGTTTGGTTTATACGACATCGACCGTTCCACTTTAAGGTTTAAAAAAGGAATAGTAACGACATGTCCCTTCCCTTCTTATCTACAACTATGGTGGTATTGGAATTTCAAATATCTATAGGGTTGGATTGAAATATAAAGAAGAGAGTTCATAATAAGTTTTCTTTTGGAGTGCTAATAAAATCTGATTTAATTAACTTTTTAATTCATGACATGTTTGATAATGAGCTAAAATTTCCTTCTACAAGACTATAATCAATGATGATCTTATGCAATGAGCTTACAGTTTAAGTGGTTAAGAGCATGTATAAGTTCCTGTATTCGAATCATTCATTTTCCAAATATCATTTGTATAAATAAAAAATTCAATCGTCATCCTAGGTAGGCGTACAAGACAATCCATTGAGTATTGTAATTTGTACCCACAATTTGTTGTAGTAGCTACCACAACCAGCGGCGTCATCTACAAGGGCTATGAAAGCGGTGCCTGTTGTATGACAGTCGTCACAGAATTAGGTTGTAGTTATAGCTTTGAACTTTGATCATGAGTTGCAGCATGCGTGGGCTTTGCATTCTTCTTGGAAAAAAGAAGAAGAAAGGGAATGGCATTTTTGGTGTCGTGTGTGTGTGAGAGCTTGAATCCTTTACAACACCTCATGCCATCGCCGACAAGGGTCCCGGCTAGGCCGCGGCTGCTTATCGGATTCAAAATATATAATCATGTGCTTATACACCCTCTTCATCTTTTCTTAGAATCGCAAACCAATTGACAAATGATGCATGACTTGAACAATGCATCTGTCTGGATCACAATATATGAATCAAATTAAGAAAGCTTTCAATTCAATATAGTTTGTACAGCAGCCACTATGCCCACCACTACCCACAGCTTCCTGTCCAATATATCCGACAACAAGAAAGGATGAATTTGGAAAACTACGACTAAAGAATAATAATAATGCCTACAACTTTTCTTTCCCTTCATTAATCTACAACTCTATACCATGTCATCCTACCCCCAAAAAATGACAATGCCAAGGAAACCACTCAAATACAGAAAACGACATCTCTGGGATATCCTCTCCCACCCATGTGGAGAAGAAGGGCATTGAATCTCCTTAAAAATTGGAGAATCAAAGTCAAATACTGACAAAAAATATGAGATAAATTACACGCGTAAACAACTCATTTTACCGACAGGCAAGGCGAGGCCCCCTAAGCAAAATGGCCACTCTATGACAGATTCATCTCTTTTCCTTTATGATACAGGTGCTATGTTCAACTCAAGTGGCCTCAAAGATCCTTGAACAATCTCCATAACTGTTCGGTTACGCCGGCAAACTTCTGATAACTCCTCAACTAGAGCAGAGACGGCATTAACATTAACCCCGGACGCAGCATCTGACAATGCCTTTAAGAATCTTGAGCGCTCAAACTCTGTCACAGCTGTCAAAGGAATTAATGAAACACTCTCCTTGGCCCACTCCACTGACGGTGGCCCATAAGCTCGACATAGTGAAAGTAGTGTGTAGCGTACCTGCGCAATGGGAGCTAAGTGAAATTCCAGACACATACCATCATCGCTCATTAGGTTAACAGTGAGAGTGTTAGTGTGCAGGTTGAGAATACAAGTAAAATTATACCAATTCTAGTCGAGAGCTTGGAAGTGCTCCTGTTAATGAAGCAATCAAAATTCTTGTAATGCAGGGTCCTCGGGGAATAATTACAGCATTCCTGATGGGTAAGTATTGTTCTACCTCAGTAGAGTTTGCAAGATCAAAGATATCAGATAAGAAGGTCAATATTGAATTTGATGCCTCTCTGCAAAGAAGAGAAATACAAAGTTAAATAGCCATTGCTCATAAAAGGCCTCAACCAAGATATTTGACATCAAACACAGAAAGAAGCGCCTATGATTTTAAAGACACAATAGCACCATACATAAAACCCTAGTTGATTTGATACATGCATCTTTTTCCATGTCCATGCAGGGTTGACATTTCTGTAAAATTATGGACCCACTTGTAAAACATCTCTCACAAATAATGGAAAAATCTTTGAATTTCCAAACTTATATTTATTCAATGTTATGTAAATGAATCCGTGCTTCTTTATTTGCTAGGTAACCTTTAGATGTTAACTGGAAAGCATGGAAGGTTGTGAAATAAGAGGCCATGCTACCATGTAAATGAGGCTATCATCTATCGCTGACATTCTGTTACGGACAAAGATAATAAAACATTCAACCTTGACCCCAGAGAGAGAGAGAGAGAGAGAGAGAGAGAGTTACAATACCTGTGCTGCACTGTAATTCCAATCATTGAGCAATCCACTAATGATGGAAATACCGCAGATGGAATAAACAACTGAGGACAATACCGAATGCATCTTGATGCCAACAAAAAACAATCATCTGCTATATCAGGTCTGGCAGTAAATTCCTGAAATAATTGATAAGTTAACTACAAAAACAGTAACATTTGAAACAAATTTCAATTACAGCTAAATGAAACCTTACCTGAATGCTCGTGAGAAGATGTGTTGTGTGCATAAAGAGTGCTTCAATCAGACTTTTCAAATAATTTGCACAAGATGGATCAGAACCAAATATCTGCAGCATAAGAAGCAACAAATGCACCAATTTAAGTTTTTAGCAAACAATAAAACAAAAAATAACTAAAAGAACATTGAATTTGTTTTCTACCAGGATAGCTTACTTTTATAACTTCACTAGAGAGATAGAGGAAGCATGGTTGGTGATGCTGTTGATATAAACCTTGAATCTCTTCTAGCATAGCTCCAATTGTAAATCCCATGCACCTTCCAGAAGTCCTCACCTAAGGAAAATTAAAGTCCTCATTACCGCCTAGTGACAGATTCTTTTAACTTCATCATTTCCAGACGGGGCAATGATAAGATCAGAAAGTTTTGAATAAAACAGCATTGCCAGAGCAAAACATTCATATGGCTCACACTGAATCACCAATGACAGGAAAACACAACACTATTGATACAAATTCTTCCTCTTATCATATAAGGCAATAGGAAAAGTTTTGAAGACCAAACAAGATGCCGCGGGAAAAAAGACAGGTCTCACAGTTGAATCACATAACTAAACACACTGGATTCAATGTATAAATTTAGCAAAAAACCTCTATAACAAATTCAGATTAAACATTTTAGAAGGGGGATCAGTGAACTCACAGCGTATTTGCATGCTCGGCACAGAGACTCCATTGTCCGCACGTCCCAAGCACGACTTCGCCAGAAACATTCAAAAAATGGATTAGAATAAGGAAAGGAGATTAAGATTTATGAGTATGGAAATCTGTTACACCGCAAGTAATGTTCAGCAAGTAACGTAGGAACACTTACAGATCAAATATGGCTTTAAATATTGGCCAAAGTCTTTGGATTGCATCTGCCACAGCTTCTGCATGATTTACATATCTGGAAATGATATTTACTAGCATGTTAGCACATCTAAACAAAATAAAAAGAAATAAGGGGCATAACAACAAGATGTTGATCATACCTAAAGATATACCCAAATCGATCAATGTGAACTGTTAAATCACGAGCAGGCTTGCTATTTAATGTGTCTGGGCCTTGACTGACAACTTCCTGGTTGTTGACAGCATTAATTCAGTATCATCACCCACAGAAGAATTTATATGTACACTTTCTTCTGGAAATGAAACACACCTGTAAAGGAGTAACGACGGGCAAGCACAAGGCCTCCAAAGCCCTCTTAGCATGGTCAGGTGGAAGTTCAGTAATGACCTTGCTGCAGAAGAGAGTTCAGTAGATGTTCAGATCATCAACAGCATGGTGCAAAACTAGATTGATCAGACAACATCAGAACATGCAGAAGATAGTTTACCTTAAGGCTTCAACTAGATGCAACGAGTCCTCAGCAGAGACCTTAAAACTACCTTCACCATTCACTGCCCTATGGTATATATGGAAGAGTCCATCCAAACATCCACAGAGCTTTAACCGGCAATCTGCATTCAAATACGAGGCATTCACAGAACTTATTAACCGAGGCCGACCAGGTTAGAAAGACAAACTACCATGATTTTTTTTTTCTTCTTAAACTAATGAGATTTTGTACCGTCACAAATCTGCCTAAATGCTACAGCTGCAGCTGCTGCAGAATCTTCTGAAACACCCATGCCACTCATGAGGACATCTAGAACTGAAGGCAGTATGGACGGTCCGCCAGGTGCAGCATCAAGCCATTTTGAATAAGCTCCAATTGTCAAGCACACTGAACACTCTCCATATGCAGGTAACATGCATTAGTATATTAGACATAAGAGTGGTGAAATAATATAGAAAAAGTATAACTTCTATTTGATGCTGCCCTCTTACAACACAGGGGGAGAGGGTCATAACTGAACCATCCATGACAGATGAACTATAACTATTAAAAATACATTACCTGTCTGAAGTAGTTGAGGATGTTGAGGTAGTTTTAGAAGCCTATCCATAACCTGTTCATATAAAAAAATATATAAATAAAATAATAATAAAAAACCACAAAAAAGAGTGAGTATTATGAGATCATACCTTGTGAATTACTTCATTCTCAACTACTATAAAGGACAATAGTAAAATTCAAATTGATGTAGAAAATTTTTGGACAACATCATACCTTGGGCATTACTTCAGCTTCAACCGCTGAAACATAACTTGATATAGCTCGGATGCCGAATAAAGCAGCTTCAGCTGGGCGCCATTCACTTTGTTCATTTTGACAGCAAGCTGCAGCCTTAATAATATTAAAATATCATGTTCAAACTGTAGTAGAAAGATGACAAAAGAAATCTTACAGAACAAAAACTGAAAAGTATTATAGAAGAACCATCCTCAAAATCACATAATATATCTTCTTTGAAACTGCTAAAGCAGTAAAGGATCACTCCTTCAAAGAGAAGAATAATCAATCCTTGAATATTTCCATTTTTCCCCAAACATCAATTCTTTACAGGTTAATAAGATCTCGACAGACCCATATATTTATTAGAGATATCAAAAGAATATTTAATGAACTTCACAATATATATATATACTCAAAATTTCATGGTATGCATCAATTTTCAGAGTGTCTGACCAAAATGTCATCGAATTGGGGTTACAGTCAGAAAAATTAATACACACCTCATCAAGCTTCATATAAAGAATTCTCAGGGTTGCATCGCCCCCTAAAACTGATGCTGCGTCAATTAAGACATCGGCAACAGCTGGAAACAAAACAGATTCAGTTAGAAATGAAGACATGCTACATTCCAGGTCTCATAAAAAGGACCATAAAGAAGAGGCAAATACACTGACCTTCACATAACAAAGTTAGAATAAAAAACAAAAAAGCAACTAACTTTCTAATGGCACTGTGACCTCAAACACCAGTGGTTTGGAAAAGGTCTAATATGAACATATCTTTAGGGTACAAGAAATTCGCACATGGATCCAAACTGAACTGATGAGATGCAAATTAATTTCCAAGTGCAAGTTTCTAAGGAAAACTTGCACAATTTCTGAGGAAACTATAAGACAATAACGACATACACCAAACAAAACAAATAAGAATTACCATATCTAGTCTGCTTGAACTCCTTAAGGTCCTCATATGAAAGGTCTTGATAATCTTGAGGATATTGAATTCGAAAGCTAACCTGTCAAAATTTCAGTCTCTGAAAGTTTAGTGTAATAGAAGAATGTCCAAATGGAATGTAATGTGGTATTTCATTGCTTCTTCCATTAAGTAGAAGTTCAGTTGTAGGACAATTAACCATTTTCCCATAAACAAATCTACTTTTTATGATAAATGAGGAAATTAGTTCTCAAATCTTTTCATAGCCATTTAATTTATGTGACAAAAGGTATCATGGTAGATCCATGTATGAAAGAATCATTTCTTGGGAAAACCACTAAATAGAAGATTGATACAAACTGCAACAAAAAGGAAAACATATGTGGTTCTCTTTACATGACCAGGTTAACAAGCTAAACTATTAGTTTGGTAAAATCACTTCATTAATTATCATAAGAACAATAATGGTAACAAGTCGTGGTATATTACATTCAGAATACAACATAAGCAAAAACACTTACTAGGGAAACAAGTGACTCATATGCTGGACGAAAAACTTGTAGCCTTCTATTTCTCTCAGCTTCAATGGAAGATTCATTAACAAATGAAATATGCAAATCCCTGGAAGAGTAGAGTTACTATAGTCAATATTTGTTTACGCATGATCAAGTAGTATGTAGTTCTCGAATGACTGACCTTTTGGTTAAGTTCACCTGAAGACTGTGCCAAAAATTGAATGTCATGGAGGCGATATAGTACTCTGGGTGTGAAGCAACTTCCAATAATGCCTGTACAATCAACATTGATTCATCTGAACCTGAATACCAACCAAAAACAAATAGATCAGAAACAGTTCAAGAGATAAGTTCAAAATATTGTAGCTGTTAAATGCTTATACCAGTTGCTATAAGTTCAACGTATGAATCACCCATGTCAGAAAATAAGCGGGCAATGGCCTTCACATCTTCCTCATCCTGAAAATAAGAATACATATTGGTAGTTTGTTTGCTTTTCTTGTAGGTAAAAATCACTTTTTAACCGAAATTTGTAGTGTGCTTGGCAATTGATGATTTTTTTTAATTAAAAAAAAAAACCTCTATGAAAAGCTCACCTTCCATCTCTACTATGATAAACAAAAAGGGTGTTCTATGTGATATGGTCCTATCACATCAATGAATAAATAAATTCTTGAAAATACAAGTGACTAATGTTTAAAGTAGCTCAGGAAAATAACTCTTATAATCTCCGCTGCTCGTGTACAACACATGTCAACCCATATCCGACATGAAAAAAAAAGTTTTAGTGCCTGGATTAAGAATGTTGTTGTCCATCCTTAGAAATATGAATGAGCTCACGATAATTATGACTCCTTTTAAAAAAAGATAAAATTGGATGCCAGATTGGAAAAACCTAATGCCCTTGGCATTAACAAAATCAATTGAAAATTTTGCATCACCCAGACTTCATATGAGGACCTTGTGAAAGAACATCCACAACTAGACAATCATCAACATGATCAAGGAACCCACATATATGATCAGTGCCAAACTTGCAATCAAAGGAATATTCCCAATAGATATGCAAAATGGACCAAACCACCGCTTAAACAAGAGATTACGTAAACAATCAAATATTAAAAAAGGAAACTTGTACAACTCTACACATGCAATACCTTCGAAGAATCTCTAAGCTGCGCCTTAAGATTCATTACTTTAGGGACAAGCACTTGAATTAAGGGCATCTGCACAGTGACACCACCAGAGCTTCCAGCGGCTGTGTAGTGTATCAATTCAGATATAACTGCAATACAAAGGAAAAAGAAAGGGGGGGAAAATAAGAAAATCAGCCCAAAGGCAACACAGAAATTGATGAAGTAAATGCATATAATTTACAATACAGTTCCCTGAGGAACATCAACTTATCCAATTTGTTTTTACCGTTTACCGATGCCTCTGAAAGTAGCTCAGAATTCAAGCTTGAGAGGGCTGTGAGCACCAATGGGTGGGATGCAAGCACAGAACCAGGGATCCTGAAACCCACATAAGTTCAGTTAAGTACCACGAATCTTTGTTTCCTCTCAAAAAGCCCTAATTAAGTTTGCACAAAACACCAATTAATTGCAAGCACAGAACCAGGGATCATCAAACCAACAAAAGTTCATACCCATGCTTCAGTCGAAGCCAAGAAGCAAACGCCTCAAGAACCTGAAAAACCAACCAGCTAAAAATGATTAAAAAAAAGCACTATAACATCCAAGAGCAAAACTTGGTAAATCTCAAACATCAGCATAAAGTAATCTATACAGTTATGAGAATAATCACCTGCTCCTTAAGCTCGTTAATATTCAAACAGGCTGTCAAGATGTTAAGAGCAACCTCCATTTGTGAAGTAAGCTCTTTATCAAATTGGCGACGTCTTTCCGGGCGAGCTGCTATTTTGTAGTTGAATACTTCCTGATTTTAAATCCAAGAAGTAAAAAACTTACGAACACGGTGAAAAATTAGGCATGCGTCAACAATGATGCAACTGAAGTTGAAAGAAAAATACATTATTTGGGCCATATATAAGACCGCTAATAAAATAACTCCAGTGCTTCACTACATGAATAACCCTCAGTTAAAATAAAAGTAAGAAAAGACCAAAGAGCATGATACTGAATAACTGTGAAAGGATTAGGAAAGAAACAGTATGCTTTAGAAAGGACATGCATTATTTATATGTCAGATTTGTGAACTTCACCTCATGCTTCCTTTGTGTGTGTGTGGGTGGGTGGGTGGAAGGAATCCAGAAACAATGAAAAAAAAAGTCAAAATCACTATGAAAACCTTTAGAGTCTGCAATCTAAGCAAGTAGCACTACTTAACTTTATAAAGCACTTTCATCATTTTCCTAGAAATCTTTATGAAAACCTTTTAAAACTGCAATCTAACCAAGTAGCACTATGAAGAATGACTTAACTTTTTACAAAGCACTTTCATCAACTTTTTACAAAGCACTTTCATCATTTCACATGGACGAGATTTAATCATCCTTGTCAAACACAGATGCCAACTGCAGTGTGCAAATATAAATTTAGCAAGCATCATTTATATACCTCAGGCAAAACTGTTAGTAACTCCAAAAACCCTGGTATGTATTCCGGATGCAAATTCATCTCATCCTGAAGCCACTTCACAATACCACCACCCCCCCAATC